GGCCCAATTTTAGCCCACTTTGTGAGGGCCAGGATGATGAAAATAGACAATGCATAAAGATAATAAAATATCAATGAATAAGAGATGTTATAAACAAAAATCAATATAATGAACTAATTAAACAGAATCAATATAATTGTCTTACAATTACACGCTTTGTCATCCAATAAACAAACACTCGCAGCTCTTCACACTGCCTTATTATCTATCTCTCTTTCTCTCTCTTTCTCTCTCTCTCACTCTCTCTCTCTCTCTCTCTCAAAATAAATACCTATATATAAATATATATATATAAATATATACATATATATATAAATATTGCTATATAAATGTACAATAGTATCAGTATGTATTATAATTAAAATAGTACAGTGAGCTAAACTAGTAAATAGTAAGTGAAAAAAGTTAGGTTCCAGGAAGGCGCTTAAGCGACAACATTAGAGCTTGATGAAGCAACAAAGGGCTAAAGCCCATTAAGTGATGTAAGCCTGGGCTAGAGTTCAATTGATCTGAAGATATTGTTGGAAGCAAATCAACGGTCGAAACCAAATCAGACCTTGTACCTTTTACGTTAGAAAGTTGCACATGGTCTTTATCTGTTAAGCTGACGGCTCTTTGGGGATACTTTATATTTTTAGCGAGAATGCTGCTTCCAATTTTTGTCAAATGAATACTGTCACTGTACAAGCGTTGTCTCGGGGCACCTGACTTCGCAGTGAAAAAAGGTGTATTGTTTATAAAACAGTATTTATAACCAATGCAGAAAGACTGTAAAAATCTATTATTTATATCTATCAAGTGCCTACCCTTGCCCCGACATGGGGGTACGATGGATGAAAAACGGATTGTTGCGTTGGGAAATGTGTGAGTGATACTTCTCACAATTTCTAGCATATTAGCTTGTGACAGTCTGACGTTTGATAGACTGTCGTTGACACCACAATGTAAGGTTACAGTTGTGGTACTAGAGTCACGTGATCGGCTACTAATAACGTCCCTAATTTTTTCAAAATTTGCCCCAGGCAGCGCTATTACCGATACACGCTCGTAATGATCCGTGGCCATTATATCAGGATGGAGACCTTTAAGTGTAGAGTCACCAAGGATCAAATGGTGTTTCGTTGTTAGGTTGGTGTAGGGGGCGGCGACATGTTGTGTGCTATCTCTATTAGTGGCATAGTGAGTAGAGCGTTGGACAACAGGGACATGAACAGCCTTGACCGTTGGGACGCTGTATTGTGTAGAATTGCTTTTAGTTCGTGGTCGTTGCAGGGTGCTGGGACTCGAATGTTCCGATGGTTTGATTCGCGCTCTGTCATCACGTTGTGTAATTTTAACAGGGATTGGGAACGGAGCTTCTTGCATGATGCCTGCCGATGTGATTTTTGTTTCATTTATTAGTTGTTGATTATCCTCACATGTTGAGGTGGATATTGTGCTGCAAGAGGGATTCTTGGTTGTGAGGAGTTTCTTTAGTGACGCAGAAATATTTTCTTGATCAATCAAACGCTTCTTAAGGTTAACGTGTATATCTTTGCAGCTATGCACTTCATTAGATAATCTCTTGACTTCGTCCCTTAAGACAGCGTTTTCGACTCGGAGTTGTTCTAGTTGGCTGTTAAACTGCAATTTCTCCGCTTTAAAAGCTTTTTTAACACAGGTGATCTCGTTAAGAATAAACGATCTCAAGTTATTTTCCAGTTGTGTGGTTTGAAGAAATGATATTTTTGGACTAAGCAAATCAGTTGGTTGAGATAGGTTTGATGAAAATGTATAGTTATTTATAGGTGTTACACAATCTAACGGATTGGTATTGATCGTATCCTCTGCACATTGATTGACACTGTTGGAAGCGGACATAATCATGGGCGGTGAAATGGGTAGCTCCAATACTCTGGGTGGGGACAGTGAAGGTGGTGGTGACAGTGATAGTGGCGGCGACATGGGTAGAGGCATGTCGACAGCTTTGTCTGTTGTAATTAGGTTATTTAGAATACAGCAAAATTCCGAATCCACCCAAACAGACACAACGTTAGATTTTCCCTGTACCATAATTTTGTTATTCGTGTGGTACAGATGGACAGACAGCCCTGGTAATTTATAATTATCTTCAACATTGGCGCCATCATCATCCCTTCTTTCCTCAACAACATCAGCATATTTTGTTTTGAAGATTCTTTTTACTTTTTCATAGCTAAATGAGTTTCTAAAGGCAATGATAACGCATTGTCCTCCATCTTTCTTTTGAAAATGAATATCATCCGCTGCACAAATGTTAGCAATCTTTTTTGATATCGCTTTTTCTTTATTTAAACGATACTTCTTAGCTCTGCTGCTTCTGGTGACAACACCAGTCCCTAACATTTTCACTCACCAGTAAAATTAAAATATCATGCTGACATCAGTAGAAATAGATGAAAAAGAAAACGAATCATCAGTAGATCTACAACAACTAAGAATATAGATATCCGGTTTACATTTTAACAATGGATGAGACAATAAAAAAAAAACATAAAATATCACAATAAGAGCCGGCTAGTAAATTAGTACTAAACTACATTCTCAACCCTAATGGATGAGTAGTACTTCCCTTAGATTTTTTTGGATTAAATAGTGAATAAAAACACTAAAAACTATGAAAGAAAGTTGACATCAATTCCGGAGTGGTCTAGCGGTAGAGAGCTGGACTGCTAACCCGTAAGTCTCGGGTTCTAGTCAGTAGACCGTCCCTGAGTCCACCCAACTCTGAGGGGTACCTAACTCACGTTTAGGGAAATTAAAGGCGGCTGGGCATAGTGCTGACCACATTATCTCTTCATATGCCGAGGTCACAGAAACAAGTGAATTCTACTTCACTCGCCCCATAGACCGTCAGGTTTGAAAGGGAAACCTTTTTACTTTAAAAATTGTTAGTTTTAATGTGAAATGAACAAAAACAACTATCCATTTAAATTATCGTTTGGCAAAACACGAATAATCACAATCACAACTTTTCTTTTAAAGAAAATAAGGAAATACACAATTTAATTAAAATTTCAGAATGTGTCTTCTTAAACAGGATGGAATGTAATATAAACATGTGTAATGTTTAGACATATAAAATCGTAATTTGCTGAGGGGTCACCCATAAATGACATCACGCTTTTTTTTGACAATTTTTACCTCCCCCCTCCCCCCCCCCCCCCCCCGTCACACATCGTCACAAAAAGACAGCGCCCCTCCCCCCCCTAAAATGACGTCACACCTCAGCCTACAACCCCCTTATAAATTTCAGTTGAATTTTTTTTTAAACATCGATATTTTTCCAAAATTTTGTCTGAACTCTGTCAAAATAGAGTATTTTAATCATTTCCAATTACAATTTATTAAAACAGTTTTCTAAAACACGAAATAACGTCTAAAATTCGTTTTCTAACATTGCTTTTCCATAATGCAGAAATGTGACGTCGCACCATCTGGACCCCCCCCCCCCTCCCCCTCATCACACATCGACACAAAATTACGGACCCTCCCTCCCCCCCTACGAGTGTGACGTCCTTTATGGACGCCCCCTGAGATGCAGTAGGTCTACACGATTTAAAAACATAAACTATCTTCTCCAACATGTGAAACAAAAGATTAGCCTGCGACTGATGTTCTGTCTATTCTACTTTTTTGTTTTTGTTTGTATTAAAAAAGCAATTAATCTTAATATAAAAAAAGCCCATGTGCGCACTTCTCTCTCTCTCTCTCTGTCCGCAAAATATTTTCACAGGCTATGATATCAGTATCTTCAGCAATATATGGAGAACTTGATACGGACTTATGTTGAAAATAATATGCTAGATGTTTTAAATGTATAAACTAAATTTTAGTTTTAGAAGAAAATAACAATAAAGGCATATTCGAATGTAGAAAAACATTTTTAATTATGCAACCGGAAAAGTGTTTATAGTTGTGACAAGAACGCAATAAACAATGACGTCACATCTTCCGATTTTAGAATATAAAGAAGTTAGATTCTACAAATCTACGTATCAAGACGTATGCTATGAAATGTAAACAGTTTTCTCTGTCAAAGTAATACAAATTACACTAAAAAACAACATATTGACCATTGATTAGCCGGATTTTAAACTGAATCATTTGAGTCTCTTAATCTGTGTGTGCATTTAATATGGTGTTTTGTTGACTAATAATGTATATAATTTGGTTTTATTTTTTCTAATAAGTATTGGTAGCCTATGTTATTTTAAATGAGTCGGATTTTTAGCTATTATTTAGTTATTTCTTTGTTTCGTCCCTTATATTGTTCAACGAGTAGTAAAGCACATTGCGTTTAGACCAAAAACTATTTTATAACATATTTTTCTCCAACATGTATAACATTAAAATATAAAGGCCTATAATTCACGTGCAACGGGTAAGGACGGCTATTTTTATAAATATAAAGCGTTTACGTTTATGGATAGGTAATAATTAATGCTTTGTTCAGAAAAGTTAAGTTAGAAATAAATACAGAGATCTAACACTTAACGTTCTATTAACCCAAACTAGTAAGCTAATTTTTAGAAGAAAAATAATTAAAAGTACATACGATTTTTCTTTATCAAGAAAAGATTTTTAACACTTAATACAAAAATAAAGTTAGAAATAAATACAGAGATCTAACACTTTAGGTTCTATTAATCCAACCAAGTAAGCTAATCTAAAAAAAAAAAAAACAATTAAAAGTACATTCGATTTTCCTTTATCAAGAATACATTTTTAACACTTTATACAAATGCAGAATAAATCGTATTGAGGACTACACTTACAGACTTTTCATTCCTCTTACCCCAAACTCTCCTTTTTTCCCCTCAAGTCCTTCCGGGCCTGCAGTAATACTTCAAGCCTGTTAGATATAAAGTACACTCATGCAGTAAGCCCGCACACAATATTTATGATCAAGTCGAACATGGCTGATACCAACCAGGATATGTTGTCAATGTGAAAACTCTTGCGTTAGTTTTAATATCGTTTTCAAACGAAGTCCAGAAAAAAAAAATAACCATCGTGTCTATGTAGTTTTCTAGGTTTCTAATTTTACTGAAATGGTAAGGTTAATCAGAGACACCTAGTCTTATTGAAATAGCAGATAGATATGTATAATTATATTTATAACAAAAAGCAAAATCAAAGTTATATCAAAATGAGTTACAATAATTACAATCAAGATAAATATTTTAGAATATTTTAAGTGAAAAGTGATTTCTATTTTTGATATCAAAATTAAAGTTAGATAAAAATAAATCATGGGCCCCGGCTGAAGTTGTTTTACACTGGTAGTAGTAGTAGTGTCTAATGTGCGTAGCAGGATAATCAATTACGACTTCTAAAATTAGATCTATATTAATGTTTTAATGTTGTATAAAACTTAATCAATTACGATTTCATATGATAATAATGATGGATTAATATTTATATCTTGCCTTTAACCTAATAAATTGTTAAGCTTTTCCAAATAACAACTAATGACAAATTTAACATATTTTAGGCAAAGAAAAATGTGTTTAAAATAATCAAACGATTACTACAAAAGAGATGTTTCCATTGGCTGATTTATCTTTCTGTAACAGGGATATTAATCGCGTGTATTGAGGTTTTCGGGCTGAGAAAGGTACGTTAAAATATTTAGTAAATATATAGTCAGAGGTATATAATATGTATACTGTTAAATGGGGGGATTTTATTTTTATGTTTAAAAAAGAGTCTATTAGATGTTAGAAAAGATTAGAGAATGTGTGAATAAATTAATGGATGCTACAAAACTAGGTAGGCCTACGTCACAAAAGTTAGTAAATATAGGTAGAGGTATATGTACCCAATTTTAAATGGGTAGTTTCTATGTTTTTATAAAAGAGACTATTAGCTGTTAGAAAAGACTAGAGAATGTGCGAATAAATTAAAGGATGCGACAAAAACAACGCCAAGTGTTAATGATATTATAGTGTTAGGTACAGTAATATAGAGATCATGGAAGAATGAATGAGTGCGAATAAACTATGGATTGTTACAAGAAACTATGTCTCGTGTCAGAGGCTAGAAATAAGATCGAATGAATTAACCCCAGAATGACGTGAAAAAGGGCGGAAAGAAGAATGGGTAAAATAAATAACATTTGGGGGGGGGGGGGGGTGGGGGTGAATTTGGCATCGGTAACACGTTCACAAATCACAACAAAGAAAAACGTTAAGAAAGTTATAAAACTTTTAAAACATGCTTAAACATCGGAATTTTTTTACTTTCTCGTATATACGAAGTATAGAGAAAGTATTGTAATCGTGCACAAAAATAACATGAAATTTTGACAGTTTTCACCGTTTTACTCCTCAGTCCTTCATCACATCCGGAGTATAGAGGACTTATTTTAATCAGGCAAAAATTATAAATACAAATATATAAACGTTTTCACGTTTTATGCGTTATCGAGTCGTAAAAACTGGACTTTGCAATTCTGTCCGTATGTCTGTGTGTCTGTGTGTCTGTCTGTGTGTAAACACGATAACTTGAGTACCGTTACAGCTAGGTTGATGAAATTTCATATATAAGTATTTTATCAAAATCGTAGATCCTGATCAACTTTTGAGCGATTTCCGATAATCGGAAGTGGTACTTTTTCTACTTTGAATTTTTCAAAAGCCTATAAGTTGCGTATTATTTTAGATAGATGCATGAAATTTCACATGTAAGTAAAAGATCTAATTCTCTACCTTCTGTCAAATTTTTAGTAATTTCCGTTGACCGGAAGTACTAATTTACGCTATTTCCGATCTCTCAAAAAAACGCATGTAAATTTATAAAGTACTAATAATATCCCGCACTTTTATACACATTTTATTAGGCATTCACTTGGTGTGGGACGGAGTGGTCTAGCGGTAGAGAGCTGGACTGCTAACCCGTTAGTCTCGAGTTCTAATCCGAGTTCAAGTCAGTAGGCCGTCCCTGAGTCCACCCAATGGGTACCTAACTCCTGTTATTGAAAGTAAAAGCGGCTGGGGGCATAGTGCTGAACACACTATCTCTTCATATGCCGAGGTCACAGAAACAAGTGAACTCTACTTCACTTGCCCCATAGACCGTCAGGTTTGAAAGGGAAACTTTTCACTTGGTGTGCAATTCTTTTTTTTACGAGATTCTATTCTATTATTAAAAGTTTAAGTAATTAAAAATGGATAACAAATATTGTCTATGTCCTGAGTTACCATCCCTCGTAATTTTATATTAGAACATTCGAGAAAGTTTAGGGGAGATCACTCCCGGTTTATTTTTTATGATGTTAGATAACCGTGGCGTCTCTAGGTCGGGTGTCACACGGTGCGGTCACCACCCCCCCCCATTTCTGTTTTTGTCACTACTGGTACACAAGTGCACAAACTATGCTTCCTAGACAAGATCTGCCTAATCTAATCTTTAAAAAAAAGAATATATAAAAATCACTAACAAAATTGCATAAATTATTAGATTTAAAAGAGTGTTCCTGGTAATTTACATGCTTATCTGAAATGCGTGCGGGAAGGAAAGGAAAAGGGGAGTGAAATGGAGTGAAGTTTTTTTAGGCTTTGTGTGACCTAGCACATGTGTAAGAAAAAGTCGCTGTAAAATAAAATGTGTACGATTATAAAAAAATTGTGTTGTACGTAATAGATATGCTTTTCGAAAATGCAGTAGTGGGTAATGGAAGTGAAATGGCACATGTGTAAGAAAAAGTCAATGTAAAATATCACTTTAAAAATATTTTGTTTAGATACACAAAAATAAACACACAAAAGGATTATTGATAACAAATAAATAAAAAGCATATACAAAAATTTAACAGATACTAGCAACAAATCATGTTTTCGCGAGATATCCAAGAAGTTTCGAGCGCAACGCCGTTAGTGTTGATGAGTACCGGGCGTCAACACCAGAATCTTATTCATCTCGCAGTCTCGCTCTCGAACTTCGTAGGAAACTACAACTCGCAGAAGGCACACCTGATCTAAACGTCACCTTCAGCTGCCATAGTCTGGGGGTCGTTAAAGATTGTAACGGAACCGGAGAGCGATGCCTACAGGATGAGTTACCCGCTGACCTTGAGACCAGGGTCAAGCAGCTGGCGTTCGGGGAGAACCTGCAGGTGCCGGTCAGGTACCGTGACGTCATGAGATCCTTCGCCGAGCAGATCCCGGGTGTGTATGACGTCATCATCGTCACCGCGCTCTCGTCGAATCATTTCAAGGAGTCACAGGTAACACTGATCTTTTTCAGGGGTAACTCACGTAATCGATACTTAAAGATACGTAGAGAGTTACCATTTTTATAACTCAACAACTAATTATATTTCTCGAATTCGAACCCGTGTTCAAGTCAGTAGTATGTCCCTGAGTCCACCCAGCTCGATTGGGTACCTAACTCACGTTACGGAAAGTAAAGGCGGCTGGGCATGGTGCCGACCACATTATCCTTTCATATGCCGGGGACACAGAATCAGGTGAACTCTACTTCACTTGCCCCATGGACCGTCAGGTTTAGAAGGGGAATTTTACTTTATTAAGTATATTAGAAAACAAAATAGGAATCTACTAAATGAATATAGGAACCTGAGTTTATTTAGAGCTTTATTCAGGCATCTTTAAGGGGAGGGAGTTTGCTTCCCCCCCCCCCCCCTTTCGTTGGAGCTTGACTAGCGCGCCTTCCCTCGAATGAAATAGAAAAAAATATAAATAATCTACAAACTAAAGAATCTACGTAATCCAGTTCCCGTTCAAATATTTATATACATGTCATTTTTGCGAACGAATTTTCACAAAAGATATTTTTATATTTTTAAAACTCTCGGGTTAGTAAACTTCACAAAATAACATGACAATTTTGTATCGTTTTACATTTATTGTTACATGCAGGCTTTTCTTAAATCGCTTCACGCTGAAGTATTTCCCCTGCTGAGCAACTTTCACCTAGTCATGTTTGATATCGGCTTGAGTACTGAAGAAAACACACAATTAAAGAAACATTGCAGGTAAATACTTTTAAAAGTCCTACGTTGTTGACAAAACATTACCTGTTTATATAACAAGACCGGGCATAATGAGTTACAATATAGATTCAAGGGACAGTCAATAATTTAAAAAAAGCGTAAAGAAAAGGTCCACGGGGAATGCTGAAAAGGCTATCAGCCTATTCAGCTATGCATATTAAAATGAGCTTTTAATATATTTATTTCTACCTGGTTTCGCGCCCCTTAGGGTCGACGCCCGGGGTTGCCGCCCCACCCGCCCTCCACTCACTACGCCTCTGCCTCACGAAAGCTGGCTGTCTAAAAAAAACATCTTGATAACGGTTCGTGTTCGAATACATTTTCAATTACTCTACATTGGGTAGAACGGCATACGGGGTAGAAGGTTGGGTAAAGGTTGGGACGTCATATGATACGGAAATCAGGTTAAAGGTCGAATTTTTATCGCAAACCCATAAAACATACAAGTTTAATTTCACCCTGTCAAGCGTTACAACCAATATCAAGGAAATGTGCAGTGCCGGACTTAAATCGGTTTTTACCCAGTGTAGTAACACATCATACCCCTCACCTGCCTCCTCCAACTTAGCCCTTACTGGTATCATGTGACGGTTAACAATGTTACAAAGTTTAATAGAATTACACACACACACACACACACACAAACACACAGTAATTCATAATTTGTGAATTCGATAGTACCAATGCTGCCACTGAAAATATTTGCTTTAAAACACTATCAGTAGGTCGTTAAGGACGAAACCCCCCCCCACCACCCTCCTTTCCCTCAACTCCTATCCTACCCTACCCCCCCCCCCCCTTCCCCGTGAAAGCAGCCTCCTCTTAGTTACCTCCCCTAAGTCTAAAATTGTCTCAAACTAAATTATCTGCCCCTAATTAGCCGTCACTAAACCCGTGGAGGTGGAGGTTGTAGGGAAATGCCTAGAGAGGAAGAGAGGGGCCTGCTAGGCGCGCTTACGGCTTGGTGTTTTCTAGGGTATCCAAGAAGAGAATTATATATATATATATATATATATATATATATATATATATATATATATATATATATATATATATATATATATAAAGCCTATAAACAAATTTAAATTAAGAAATAAATAAAATATATAGTCCTGCATATTTTATTATTGTAAAATTCACTAACAAATGAAGATTTAATTTTAATGAAAAAAACGATGATAGTAAATTTTAAAAATCTTCGTTGGCTATGTTCACATGTTCAACTATTATAAAGTGAAGACCTTTTGCGTTTAAATTAATACTAAGCGACCCCCCCCCCCCCCACCCCTCCACACAGTGCTACTGGAAGGTTACCACTCAATAAATTCTCTTATCTAAAGCAGGTACGGTAAAAAACGGAACCACTCGCACTTGTAAAATATGTGTTTTCTTTGTTTAGTTTAACTGTTTAAACAAGACTAAAGGTACTACGGTGGTGAAATATCACTTACGAAGTATTCGATAACATAATTGATTTCTATTTTGTGTTTAGGTGGTCATGAATCTGTGTTCTAATTTTTTTTTTAAATTCGCTTTTCAATAAAAAAAACAAACAAAAAAAACACGATTTTTAAAACATGTATTTGTCTACGAGAAACCTGCTCTACAGTGTACCTTGCAATTATGTCACTTCAAGATTGAATTAAAAGCAGCTCTTTTTAGGAAATTTGTGTTGTTTTCTTTTTATAGCCAAGACCAACATAAGGCCTTATAAAATGTATTTACGAATACAATTGAAAAATTGAAATATATACACTAATCAACATTAATTAATATTTTTAAAAAATATTTACAATATATATTTGAATTCTATAATTGAAATTTTAAAACGTGGCAAATATGATTTCGGAAAAAAAAATATCAATGCCGTTACAACTTGTATGTCATTACAAGACTATACTAACTACTATAATTTTTTCTGCGCTTATAAATAGTGTTTAAATTCTGCGCATTTTGGGTTTTATTCACGCACATCATCTTTACATATTATATAGATATGTAGGATATATATATATATATATATATATAGCTACTTGTTTTAATTTTGCCAGATGTACCGTTGTAAACTTTACCTTCGAGGAATTTCCACCACACTTCAAGTCCTTAAAATGCTTTGCTTGGAAACCAGTTATCATAGGATCAGTGTATTTTAAGGCGGACGTTGTAATATGGATGGATGCCTCCATCAGGTTTGTTTGTGATTCTCAAAAACTAAAATCAGACCCAACATTTGTTTGTGATTTTCAAAAACCCAATATTTTTTTTTACAAAAAATCTACCCTTCCACTGTTAATCCTTTTTTTGCAATCTAAATATTAATTTCTCTGAAAAAAATACAATTTTATTCAAATTTAAGCTTGTTTCCTGTATTAAAAATATACTACAATATATAGATCTAGTAAAAATGCTCCTGACGAAACAATGTCGCCAGTCTAATACATTACGATTCTGTATAATGTTGACAAACTGTACCTAACCCTAGCCCAAGACATATATATATATATATATATATATATATATATATATATATATATATATATATATATATATACATATATATATATATATATATATATATACATATATATATATATATATATATATATATATATATATATATATATATATATATATATATATATATATATATATATATATATAGGCGGGTTTAACATTTTGTGGAAAAGAAACACCCCGAAAAATTTGCAACGATTGTGCTTCGGAGCTGTTAAATGACATTAACCTATCTCAATTCCAAAACAAAATGAAAGGGAGCAAAAAAAATTACATGGGAAAGGTTTATTTCAACGGAAATGTAGAGCAAGTGAGGAAAGCATGGCAGAAATAAAACAAAGACCATTGAAGTGAAATGCAGAGACCAAAATGAAACGAAAGTTTACACACATTGTATAGTAACATTTAGGTTAAATTATTTGTGATGCAGTTTAAGTTCCTTTAACTTTTAAGTTTAGGTAAAATTTCTGAAAGGTTGAATGGATTTAACGTATTTCAATTTATTTCAATGGAGAAAATTACTTTGAGATACAGGCAATTTGACATACGAGCAATTTTACGGAATTAACTCGTGTTTCGAGGTACCACTGCATATTACAACATATATACGTATATATATATAATAGATATAATACCACTGCTCCTTAAAAACTAACGCCCTTTTCACTTTGAATGGGTTATCCCACCTTTTCTTACTTGAACGGGACAGGCCGTAATTGTGTAGAGCGATATCAGTGTCACACAGAGGCGTAGCGAGAGTGGGGGGGCGGGGGGGACGACATATGTCCCCGGGCGCCGACATTAGGGGGGGGGGGGCGCCAAAATGGGTGGGAAAAACAAATTGAAAGTTTGAGGGGGGGTGCAAATCGAAAGTTTGAGGGGGGGGGGTGCAAATCGAAGGTTTGTAACCGGGCGCCGGGAAGGGGCGCTACGCCTCTGGTGTCACACCTAGGTGTATGCTGGGGAGGATTATTGACTTGAAGTTACAGAGCGGGGTGAATCTGGGTGACCCGCCCCCCTCTCCCACCCGACCTGACCCGTGAAGTAAATTTAGGAAAACATGAGATACCTACAGACAGAGCCATTAGTTATAGTGTAGGGTTTGATGACACAAAGCAGTTCACTGATTAGAGATCAGTGAATCGTTTCTTCAACCTTAGGGTTGCTGGGGCACTAGAGTTGATTTCCTCATAATAATCTGCCAACTTTCTCGGGTTTCTGCTGATTTAATTGATATAGACCTTTGTATATACTTTAACAAACTGAAATTATTTTTATATGAAGACTTCTTCGCCAGATTTCATCTGCCAGATGCCATACCTGTAATGATATCTAAGGCCAAGCGACAAGGTGTTGTTTTAAGGCATAATCCTGCCAATGCTGCTAGCCCGTACTACACGTTGAAACAGGTAAGTCTACGACAGGTATAGTAATTTAATTTTTCAAACAGGTAAGTCTACGACAGGTCTAGTAATCTAATGTTTCAAACAGGTAAGTCTACGACAGGTCTAGTAATCGAATTTTTAAAATAGGTAAGTCTAAGACAAGTCTAGTAATCTAATTTTTTTCAAATAATTAAGTCTAAGACAAGTCTATTAATCTATTTTTTTTTAAACAGATGACTCTTCGATTGGTCGTAGTTAACACACCAAGTATCGAAATTTTTAAAAAAAATCGATTTAGATAACCTACTCAAATTAAGACTCAAAGTTTCTATTTTTACATTTTTTCTGTTTAGATGTTTGAGTACTTCGGAGACTCGCCTTGTGCTCATTTACTGTTTGATCAAGTTGAAAGTGGATTTGGTCTCTACCACAGGTAGACCTATACATATTTTGTATCATTCTATTTAGCCAAGAAATTTCGTGTTTCTAACACAAATAATATTATTAACTGAAAACCATTGAATCAAAAGTAAATTGTATTTTGAAAAATAAATCGTTTTCAGTGGATTCAAAATTTTTATTTAATAATGAATATGTTGCTTAGCCCAAAACTACTATTTTTTTGTAAATGACCCTCTAAGTAAATATAATTTCCTTTTTAGGTGAATCATGTTTTTACAAGCTTTTATTTAACTCACTTCCTCTGTCGTCAGTCGTCAGTCTGTCGTCAGTCTAGATAGAAACGCAGGAGTGAAAATTCGGACACTTCTACTTGACCGATACGATTCACATTTGGCACGTGGGTCAAGACATGAAGATAATGCAATCTGAAACTAAATTTGACTTAATTCGATGCCTAATTAATTTTTTATGAATTAATTAAAATTTGGACCGAATTAGTAGGCTTGTCTATCCAACCACACCACACGCGTCAACACGCTCCATAGCTGCGCCATCAGGTTGAATAGCTGCGCCATCACGTTCAATAGGCGCGCAATGGTTTTTAGTCATGTAACACTATCGTAAATAAAACATGTAAAGTACTGAAAAAAAATTCATAAAAAAACGTTTTAATAACAAGCTTTTATGTACTAATGCACTAAAAAGTAGAAAATAAATTATACACTACTATTTAAATCACTATAAAGAAAAGCGTGGGTCTCTTCTCGAATATTAGTAAAGGTATAAAATATGTACTAAAGTACTAAAGTGACCCACGCTTTTCTTTATAGTAATTTAAATAGTAGTGTATAATTTATTTTCTACTTTTTAGTGCAGTAGTACATAAAAGCTTGTTATTAAAACGTTTTTTTATGAATTTTTTTTTAGGATTACACACAAAAAAAAAAAACAGAACTATAGGAGGTAATTCAGTTTTTACAAAACTAACTTTGATTAGCGCCCTTTAAATGTTTTACTCGTTTCTTAAAAATGTAATATTAAAAAAAAAAAAAAAAAGCTAGAAATGTTTACTTGCTCGCATTAAAAAAACTAAAGTTACCCTTTCTGATCTAGTTTATCTGTTTCTTGACCGGGGAATATGAATGGATTGTGTAAATAAAAGTAATAGACTTATTAAGATTAACATTTTATTTTTTAAAAATCTATAGATTTAAAAATTATAATGGTTTATAATTATTTTTTAAAATTAATATATTCTTATTTTAAACCCTTTAAGAGAACCGTTGATACAGAGAGCTCTTATTGACCCCTGGACTGCTTGCGCCTTGAGACCAGAATGCACCTGTCCAGTACCTCAAGCAACGGTTCAAAAATGTCCAGGTCGCAAAAACGTTAAACGCTTCCACGAGTGCATGCGCAATGACCAGTCCTCCCTGAGCATCATTCTGGCTAAGTTATTCCGTGAAAAGTACTATCATTTCGCTATTCGTACTGAATGGTTTATCAGGGTACTCAGGGGTGACAAGTTTGATTACTTCAGCAGGCTGGAAATAGAGAAAAGGATTCAGATTATCTGTTGAGATAAAAATAATATTAATAACTTATTAATACAGCATTAATGGCCTGGATAGACAATTACTAATTAGTCTCACTCATGTTATATTATAGTTATGATGTCTATGGAATGAAGACAATTTTCACACACTTCCCGTTGGTCACTTCAATACTTAGGCATAATTTAAAGGCTGTCTTGAAAATAAAACTTCTAAATAACGATGATACAATATTAATATATTTTTTAAAAGTAATCAAACCTCACACTGCCATTTTTTGGAAAGAGAGTAAGTATATCTTCCAGTGATAAAAAGTGGCAGCCTACTACTAATAATTTAAAAAAAAAACTCAGGAGAAGAAACGATGTATTACAATTCGTTTTATTTACCGGTAGATTCTAGCATGTTTTTCTTATCATATGAGGGTTTGTAGTACCGCACTGAAGATAACATTGCAAAGAAAGCTACGGATTGAAATCCTCAAGGAAAAGGAAAGGAGGCCGACCAAATAGACCATGGAGAAGAACGGTAGGAGAACAGGTACAGGTAAATGACGCTGGGCTCATGTAGCTGCAGATAAAGGGAGCAGCCCAAAACCGAGTCCGGTGAAGAGGTGTGATAACAGCCCTTTGTTCCTGAAGGCTACAAAGGATAAATGATGATGATGATTTGTCTAAGATTTTAAAATAAAAGTTTCTCATTTAAAATATTTTTTGCTTTATGGATGCTCATTTGTTTGTTTTTAAATATAAATAAAAGCATGCACAATTACTTCACACACGTCACTACTATTGATGACATTGTATATCTCTGCATTCAATCGTTCAGTACATTTACATGTAAGGGTTTCTTTACATGCTATTGTCTGCTGTCTCGACCTCCAATCGTCCTAATCACTCTAGTTCCTCTGTTATTTTTTTATCGTAATAAATAACTGAACATTGGAGGACCATACATTATGTCCAACACAGCAGAGGAACTACAATAGTTTCCATCTCGGAAAACACCCCGTATAAATTTTATCGAAGTGAAGTGCATTGAAGCAAGAGTATAGACCGCGTCTACTGGTACAGAGTACAGTTTTGTAAGCCACGCTCGGTATTTTCTGTAGCCGTACCACAAGGGCGTAGGGTTTATTTCAGACATTTTACTTCTAAGGGGTGAACGGCGTTGTTGAACTGTAGTGTTCAGCTACTAGCTCGAAGGTCTCGAGTTCAGATCTCGGCCCAGACTCGAGATTGAGTCCACCCAGCTCTGATGGGTACCTGACTCAAGTTGGGGACAAGTAAAGGCGGCAGGGTATATTGCTTACCACACCATCCATTCGAGAAATATGAACTCTACTTCAACTGCCCTATGGATCCTGATAGGGGAGCTTAACTTTACTATACCACAAGGGCTCAGGGTTTCTTATTAAAAAAAATCTCTCGGGACCCGAGGGGGGGGGGGGGGGGTTCTTTGAAACTTACAGGGGACGGTGGGCGCATTCTTAAATGCTGTGCAAACCCCTACATCCTCACAATACAGGAGAGACGCCTGAAAGAAACACTGTAATGGCGAATCTTGATTGGACCAACTTTCATTTTCCGAATCATTCAGATGATTTGAATTTGATGCCTTCTCCGTAAACTCTTTTCTGCTGCCGTACCGCGGCTGGGTGTTGTGTCTTTGACAAACACAAGTGAGAGTTCTAAATCCGTGAGAAAATTCTTCTGAAGATTAACATGTAGCAGAAGCGTAGCGAGGGCGAGGATGGGGGAGGGGGGGGGGTGCTGGCCGCACCGGGTGACACCATTTAGGGGGGGGGTGACACCAAGGCAAAAAATTGCCAAATTTTCAGACGAAAAATGCTTTTTTGCCTGTCCCATTAATAATTTTATGTACAAATTTAGTAATTTTATATATATATATATATATATATATATATATATATTAATGTATAGATCTAGATCAAGCTTAGCAAAAAATCTATAACTATAACCTAGGCTACAACAGATTATGTTTCGACGATCTAAAAATACTTAAAATAGGTCTCTTATAACTTAGAAGTGAATAGTCACTAATTTCTCATACCGAGATTCTGATGCATACGCTCATAACTTGATCAGCCATAATTCTTTAATTACGTAAAATACAAAACTTGTAGGATGAGGTGCAAGATATAGATTCTAGATCTAAAAATGTCACATGTTAAATACATGTGAATGGCCGCCATCTCGCATTTTTGTCTACAGCGCCATCTGCCATTAATGAAGCTTACCGCGCAATCTCGCATTCCGCAGTTTCTATGATATATAGATCTAGATCTAGGCCCGATCTGATTATTATCATTTTTAATCGTTATTGTGCCAGCTTATTTTTACAAAACACAAGCTCATATAAAGGTTGGTAATTTCTAGGAAACATAGGAAAAAGAGATCTAAAATAGTAGATTTATCTCTAGTTTTGATAGTTAAAAAAAACAATAAAATACAGGATTTAGTTTTTACTATTTTTAGTCTATTTTCTTTGCTTCGACCTAAAAACCACGCAATATTTCTAAAATAGGACAGAGTAGCCTCTCTTTTACGGAATATGAACTACTGCGCATGTGCGTTGATTTTGCGAAGTACACAAGGAATGATTTTTAATGTCGGCTGGAAACTTCTCGTGTTAAGCAAAAATTTAAACGTGCATATACGCAAATTGCTTCTTGTTTATGTAAAATAGATCTAGATTCTAGATTAGTCATTCACGACTTCTGTAAGTAAAATTCAGGCCATCTTAGTACTTAAATGTTAGATCTAGAAAATCGAGTTACACTAGATCTAGTATTTGAAGGTAAAAGTCTAGAGGCTAGGCTATTACAAAACTAAGTCATCGCGAACCCGCCTATAGTTTTAGCGGGAGACGTGCGCGCTAGCAACCATTTTCTGTTTGACCTATTTTAGTATTTTTGGTAGTTAGGCCTAGGGCCTATACTAGTTTATCTAGATCTAGTCTAGATCTAGAGAAGATCTAGATTCTAGTCTAGGCCTAGAAAAAGATAGATGCACTAGGTCTAGATATCTAGATCTAGATCTGGATTCAAGTAGTGACTAGTCACTAGTCTTACAATTTGACACAACTTAGATCTAAATCTATATTTAGATCAGGCCTAGATCTAGAACAGACATAGATCTATAGTTTATAGTGTCTAGATCTAATCTAGATCTAGATCTAGATCTGTATGTCTAGTCTAGTGACCTAGATCTAGATTTAGTCTGAGTCTAATCTTAGGCCTATTCATCTTTTTTCTTTGCAGTACACATTTTTTCAACATCCTACTATAACTATTCCTACTCCCTAGGAATAGTTTACTCCCTAAACTAAACCACCCTTTTTAAGGCTAAGCCCTAGATTCATAGGGGATAGGGGAGATGCCAGCCTTTAAGGCCTAATTATTTAATGCAGTTTTTTGTTATGAATTTTTTGAAGTGGAAAATTCCTGAAACGGTTTCAGTGAAACCACATCAAATTGCAAAAATTGTACAATTTTTGTGTGTAGGCTAGAGAATATTCAGAATAAGGTGACTACTCTGAAGAAACTTCTTCTTCCAAAGCTAGTCTGGCAGGCAGATGATGAAACACGCAATGACCTTAATACTAATAGATGCTAAAAAAAATTTTGGGGAGTGGTGGGGGCTGTACACTAGTTAAAGTATATATTTTCTATATAAATTCTATTTCTTTAGGCCTAGAGGGAATGGGGTTCTGCCCCCACAGAAGAGATGCCTGAATGCAACTTTTGTCAAATTTGAGTTTAGGTGCAAGGTTTAGGGCTACAACTATATTTAGTATCAAGTTGCAAGTAACTATGTGTAGATCAAGGTTACCAGATAATGTGGGAATATCTACATTTAGCATCTATACACAAAATAGAATGGCATCAGTGATTATTGAAGCAGAGAACAATACACAATAATAATGACATAGTTGGTAATAGACAAAAAAAACCTTAATTAGTCTAATTTCAGAAGTAAATGTAGATGTACAAAACAAATGCTGAAAAGTAATATATATAGTAAGTGTTAGTATCAGGATTAAGGTTGGGGTTAGGTGTATTATTTCAAGTTAAACTTCCAAATCTGGAAAAAATGCCGATTATGGATAAAAATCTGTTTTCAATTACTTTTTTCGTTTCCTGTTAAGTTTGAAGTTGAGGTGGTGATTTTGGTTTGGTTTAGAGAACAAGACAACACTATCAACCTAGTTCCCATTGTATTTCTCCCTCAACAAGCCATTTATCTAATAAAGAAACACTCTTTGACAAAAGAACATTGGGGGGGGGGAGCAATATCGTCCATCAAATTTTGACTTCAAGCAGAATATATTCGTAATCAGATACTTAAATAGTGCAGTCCAAAAGAACTTCTAATTCTATCATTTATCCTAAATAGTAAAAATTAATGTAATGTATAAAACTTAGGTATATATTTAAAAAGCCAATAGAATGCCCAGAAAAGATCAAATTATCCAGTAGCTCTACTATAGATTTAATCTAACAATTGCATCCAACTTGGGCCCAATCCTATTTACCATGTCTACATATTGTCTTGTGAGAAGCCATATGCCTAATTTTATTACAATTTTTATTTATTTTTACATTTTGCATAAAATTAAAATCTTCTTCGGCCTAAGGTATCACTACAATTTTATTTAAGCTTTACAATGTTCTTGATCAAATTTATTTATGTCTTGTTTCAGACAATCATGGCAAAAGAAATGTCTTTAAAAGAAAAAGATGAGTTTGAAACGTGGGAGGATTTTTTCAGAGCGGTGGAAAAATATTCTGAGGAAACCTACCAACCCATGGTTAAAAGCTCAGCGAAGCTCTGCTCCTCAATGAACAAGGGATTGAAGGATAGAAAATTCAAACCTTACCCTCTTCATATGAAATACAGTTATTTTTGTTACAAGTGCAGTCATGGTGGGAGCTATAAGAGTCATGGTCAAGGGAAAAGGCATTACGTGTAAGTAAAGAATTTCCTCAGTTGTAAACCAATGGACAAGGAAAAAGGCATTACGTGTAAGTAAAGAATTTCCTCAGTTGTAAACATGTAGACAAGGGAAAAGGCATTATGTGTAAGTAAAGAATATCCTCAGTTGTAAACCATCATGGAAGATGAAAAGTGTATTATGGGTCAGTGAAAACAGTTCACTTTCTGATGTCGATGCATGCTACCTAGCTCTGATAGTTAGCAGTCTTGAGCCTGGGACATTTAAGGTGGCTGTACACACAATATGATTTCGGAGAAACATATGAACTCTATGGGACATTCCGATCTAAAAGTCTGTTTTCAAAGAAATCCCTTAGGTAAATCAGTGTGTAGTTTTAATTAATGTAAATTAAGTAAATTATAGTTACAAAAAACAAATTAATTGCCATGATATGATGATATGGCAGGTAAAGTTCTCCTGTTTTAGTGACCTCGACTTGTGAAGTGATAATGTAGTCATCATTTGAACCAGCCACCTTTAGATTCCCTAACCTGAGTCAGATACCCATCAGAGCTGGGTGGGTTCAGGGACTTTCTGAAGACTACCATTCATCTGGGCCATCATCTCACACATATATTGTAATAATTTATATAAAATGATATTATTGGTATTATGTTTTTCTTTTTGTTAAAATCATATTTATAAAGTAAGAAAAAAATGTTTTTTTTCTGTTCGTTTTGTTGTTTTGTGACATTTACTTTTGTGTTTTAGATCACAGAAGATGGACTGCCCTGCAAAAATATATGCCTGTCTGACCAAGGATAGAAAAAGAATTTATGTTAAACATTTGGTACCCCTTCATAACCATGAAATAAGTGAGTACTTTTGTCTTTGTATATTCCTCTTTTGTTATCTCTTTTTAAAGATAGTCGTGGTTGTAGATAATTCAATCGTACTTTGCTTGAGAATTGTTTTTAATACTAAATTGGCAGGCTGTGCTTTAAAAAAAAAAATCAAATGTAATTACAATAGAAACCAAACAATATCTATATCTGGTCAATTTTTAAATATGTTTTCACTTGAATAATTCTGACCCATTAATAATGCTCTCCCCAGCACTGATTCCACGAGAGTAATTCCATAATATAATACAGAAATTTGTTCATGTTACTATTGACGTTAGTGCTTATTTGGCATTTGAGGTTGTCATTACCTGTTAATTTGTTACAGGCAAAGACTGGAAAGAGAAATGGAGGGTGAAACGCAATGCCTACATGAAGAAGAAAAGAGAACTTCACATGCAGCACATGAACTGCCACTGTAATGAGGACTCAGATGAGGCAACCCCAGGGAGGTTTGTGAACCCTGTAGTACTTGGTGTGTTTGTTGGCAAGTCTTTGGTTTTCTTTGTTGTAATTTATTCATTTGCTTGATTTTGTTTGTCTGGTATTTTATTTATGTTTGCCAGCGAAGGTTTTTTTTTGTGAGTAAATCATTGATTGGTTTGTCACCTATTCTTTGATTGGTTTGTCTAGTATTTTAGTTTTGTTTGTCATTAAATCATTGATTGGATTGTCAGCAATTCTTTAATTTGTTTGTCTAGTATTTTAGTCTTGTTTGTCAGTGATGGTTTAGACTGTGGCTGTAATTATTCATTTTATATTCAATTTTTTTGCAGTGTTTATTTTTATAATTATTTTGTGAGTTGCTTAGCTTACGGTTTTTAAAGACATTCAATCCATCAAATTTTATTACATTGTTGATTTTTATAATTATTTTATGAGTTGCTTAGCTTACAGTTTTTAAAGACATTTATCAATCAAACCTTATCTCTAGGGATCGTTAAGACACCATATTTGATTTATTCATAACTTTTTGCCACCTGTCCTGGTGCTCTGAGTAATCCTGCAACAGAAAACCTAGTCTGATCTTTTATGTTTATGCCTACCATTATTCTCTCTGTCTTGGCACAATGCCATGCATTATTGTTTTGGTTAAAGCACAGGTTCTTAAAGACATTAGGTCATATATTATTCCCTACAGATTTTAAAACTAATGTTTAAAAATATTTCTGTTTAGAATTGCTGTCATATATTATGTTTAGAATTGCTGTTCTGCTTATGATGTTGTCTTACTTGTTTTCTTGGAAAATGGCATCTTTATAATGTTTTTACTAGAACATTTCACTTGTTAAATTTTAAAATGCTCGTTTTTTAATTACTCTTTTAGTAGTAATGTAATTTCCCTAATCAAGTGATAAGTTGTGTGGTTTCCCTAATCAAGGGATAAGTTATGTGGCAGATGTTGAACATAACTTCCCTTATCTCCCCAGTTCAGTGACTGTAACAGAAGGGACAGAACTGGCTTGCATCAAACAAGAGCCAGTTACCTCAGACACAGAGGAGATGCCACCAGCTGATACGGCTGAAGCTAACAAGGATGGTGCTGGGGCTAAGAGGTAGGCAATTTAACTGACAGTATGAATAAGTAGGCAAGTTAACTGACAATACAAGCAAGTAGGCAATTTAAATGACAGTATGAACAAGTAGGCAAGTGAATGGACTGTATGAACAAATAGGCAATTTAACTGACAATATGAACAAATTGGCAAGTGAACTGACAATATGAACAAGTAGGCAATTTTACTGACATTATGAACAAGTTGGCAAGTTAACTGACAGTATGAATAAGTAGGCAAGTTTATTGACACTAAATAAATAGGCAAGTGAACTGATAATTTGAACAACTGACTTATGGTTGATTGCAATATGACATTGATATTGTTTGAAAGTGTTATTTTATTTTTTTAACAAAACATCTGGTAAAGATCTATTAAAGCTCATCATTTTATAATACTGAATTTTTATTTTGCTAATTCTGGTTATGTGTGATTGATTCTTTTCTTTATTATCATTAATTAACAAATATTAGTATGGAATGCCAATTACAGAAATCCTGGTTTAATCTCAGTGTGGTTCTCTGCTGAACTTGTAGTATCTGTCCTGCATTAATTATTTTTATTAGTGTCTGTTGTTTAAATTAGATGGCATGGCCAAGTTGTAAAGAGCTATACTTCTAAACCAAAAGTCTCAAGTTCAGATCCCTGAGTCCACCCAGCTGTGATGGGTACCTTAAATAAATCTGGCTGGTCATATTGCTGACGAAACATCCCACTGTATGCAAACATCATTGTAACAGATGAACACTACTTCATCTGCTTCATGTATCTTTCGCATGAACTGGAGAAGATGATATTGTTATTTAAACTCTAGTTGGGTCATAAAAATGTTTTAAGCCATAGGTGACCCCCCACACCCCGTAGTTTAAAGACTGCCATAAATAATTTTTCCTTTAATTATCCTTGTACCCTATTCAACTGCTTGATATCCTTCAATCTTATTCAACAGCTCGAGTGATATTCTACATCTAAGAGACGAGTTTGCCACATGGGAGCTGTTTTTCGGTGCCGTGAATGATTACATCAGTGCTAGCCGTCAGCAGATGGTGAAGAACTCCTGCAAGACAACCGTCACAGCTAACACTGTTTTGAAGGAGGGTGGCACCCCTTACCCAACCAGTTTCAAATATGTTTTCTACTCATTCCGCTGTCAGCTTGGTGAGAAGTTTAAAACTCATGACAAGGGGGAGAATCAGTGAGTTGTTTCCCTTGTTTGATGCTAGTTATTGTTCTTTTTTTGTATGTATTTTTCTGATTTAAATATGAATTATTAGTTTTAGTTAATGAACCTCTTTTTAGATGAGGTTAGATAACAAAGGGTGCCATGATTTTTAGACCTGACTCATTAAATGCGTGTAATATTTTTATTTTTAAATTTATTATGTTGTTATACAGATTGTAGTGTGAGAGGGTTACTGATACTTAATGGTTCATGAAACTATTTTTTTAAAAACTGGCCCATCTGCAGGCAGATGTTTACATCCATGTGCTACTAGAGAGGAATCATTCTAACTTATAACAGGGCTACCTACTTAGTAGTTTTTCTCCATTTGTATACACTTTTGTCATGTTGCTGTGGTGCTTTGCCTATGTTGTAACCCTTACAGATTTGCCTTCGCTAACAAGTTTCAAAAGCTAGTTTTTACTATGGCTCTAAACTTGACCCTCTAAAAACGATTTTTGAAATGTTGCTTCGTAGCTTTAATTCCCTTGCACAGTGGGTTGTTCACAGGTCACAGAGGTGTAGTGTAGGTGATCTACAGTGACTAATGGCGAAAACGTTATAAACTCTACCTGTACTATGTCAAGTTTGTTTACAGGTCACTGAGGTGTAGTGTAGGTATCCTGCCGTGACTAATGGTGAAAATGTTAATAAACTCTACCTGTACTGTGTCAAGTTTCTTTACAGGTCACTGAGGTGTAGTGTACGTATCCTGCCGTGACTAATGGCGAAAATGTTAATAAACTCTACCTGTACTGTGTCAAGTTTGTTTACAGGTCACTGAGGTGTAGTGTACGTATCCTGCCGTGACTAATGGCGAAAATGTTAATAAACTCTATCTGTACTGTGTCAAGTTTCTTTACAGGTCACTGAGGTGTAGTGTACGTATCCTGCCGTGACTAATGGTGAAAATGTTAATAAACTCTACCTGTACTATGTCAAGTTTCTTTACAGGTCACTGAGGTGTAGTGTACGTATCCTGCCGTGACTAATGGTGAAAATGTTAATAAACTCTACCTGTACTGTGTCAAGTTTCTTTACAGGTCACAGAGGTGTAGTGTAGGTGATCAACAGTGGCTAATGGTGAAAATGTTAATAAACTCTATCTGTACTGTGTCAAGTTTCTTTACAGGTCACACAGAGGTGTAGTGTAGGTGATCAACAGTGACTAATGGTGAAAATGTTAATAAACTCTATCTGTACTGTGTCAAGTTTGTTTACAGGTCACTGAGGTGTAGTGTACGTATCCTGCTGTGACTAATGGCGAAAATGTTAATAAACTCTATCTGTACTGTGTCAAGTTTCTTTACAGGTCACTGAGGTGTAGTGTACGTATCCTGCTGTGACTAATGGTGAAAATGTTAATAAACTCTACCTGTACTGTGTCAAGTTTCTTTACAGGTCACAGAGGTGTAGTGTATGTGATCAAAAATAACTAAAGATGAAAGTGTTGAATTCTACTTATACTATTATTGTTCTCAGGTCTGAGAGGCTGGGCTGCCCCGCCCGGATTTACGCATGTCTAAACAAGGCCAGGGACAAAATAGTGATCAAACAGCTGGACCTTGCTCACAACCACGAATGTATGTAGCATTTCTTTTTTTAGATTTTGTTACTATATCGTCATCTTTTTCATTTGCGCACAAGATACATTGGGCAGGTGGTGTAGAGTTTACCTGTTTCAATGACCTCAGCACTCAAGGGGAGTGTGTGGTCAGCACTATGCCAATCTGCCTTTACTTCTCTAATGTGAGTCAGGTTCAGTTTTTAACTTCCTCACAAATTAAAAGAAATTGGATACCATATAAGCTGTCAGAAAAAACTCCAACTATGCTGATTTGAGGCTAAGCATTTTAATTGCAGCAAAAACAGTTATTTTGAATATGCAGACTGTATGCCTGTTTCAGATTTATACATTTTGCATGTATTTTAGGCGTCATCCATAAATAATGGGGTTGGGTCAGCCAGTCTTTTATGATGAGTTGGAAAGAGGGAATAAATTAATTTGATATAAAAAAAAATTCTTAAGAACAAAAATGTTAAATGATGTTTCTTTCATTAGAATTATTGTTAATTGGGGATGGATCTTTTATAAAATGTGTGGAACTTAATGTGATAATTACCAAGGAGATTATTGGTTCTTTTGGATTGATTTGTTTCTCTTAAAAATATTTTTGGGTTTTTGACTTTACAAAACTGAATGGTAGTAAGATTTGTACTAGTCTTAAATTGCTGGTTTCTTATCTAGTGCATAGGAAAATAGAAAGGAATGTTTGTTCTTGAACAATTGTGGGAACCCAGTTTAAAAAAAAAAAAGAAGAAGGCTCTGATCTTCCAGGGGGAAGTATTTCTGCCCAGCTTACTTACATGAATATATATCTTTAACTTCTAGAACCGAGACTGTTTTTGTGACCTACCAAAACAAACAATAGATGTTCAGACTATAAAATAATTCCTGCTGTAATTTATACAAATTTGTAACTGTATTCTGTCACTTGTAGCAGAGTTGTTATATGGTTTAATGCCTATAATAAATCATTATAGCTTAATAGTGATGGAAATATTTTAAAAATTATCACTATAAAAGTAAAATGTGAATTTTATTATCTTTTCAAGTTCGTGCCCTAGACACATGGGGCAGATTACCTCATGGGGGTAGTGTTGTCAACATTGTGTCCTGTCGCTTTAGTTACCCTAACTTGAGTTAAGAACTCATTAGACCTAGGTGGACTCATGAAATCCTAAAGAATTGAACCCATGACCTGCACTTGAGATTTACAGTTGGCTCTACCACTTGATGATGCTGTCCCTTAATTTTACAATTTTTAAAAATATTTCTCCTATATATGGCTTTATTGGGTTTTTTTTTTCAAATTTATTCCTGCAGGTGAAGACTGGCTGGAGAAATGTAATAGACATAGAAATGCCTACTACAAGAAGAAGAGGGATCTACAGAAATGTGCATGTCATAAAACTGTACCAGATGTCACAGCCACTGATATGTTTGAGAATCTGGCTCAAGAATATATAGAGAAAAAGTGAGTGGGTTTATAGTATACCATGCTAGGTGGTGGTTAAAAGAAATATACATGTCATAAAACTGTACCACATGGCACACCCAGCGGTATGTTTGAGAATCTGGCTCAAGAATATATAGAGAAAAAGTGAGTGGGTTTATAGTATACCATGCTAGGTGGTGGTTAAAAGAAATATACATGTCATAAAACTGTACCACATGGCACACCCAGCGGTATGTTTGAGAATCTGGCTCAAGAATATATAGAGAAAAAGTGAGTGGGTTTATAGTATACCATGCTAGGTGGTGGTTAAAAGAAATATACATGTCATAAAACTGTACCACATGGCACACCCAGCGGTATGTTTGAGAATCTGGCTCAAGAATATATAGAGAAAAAGTGAGTGGGTTTATAGTATACCATGCTAGGTGGTGGTTAAAAGAAATATACATGTCATAAAACTGTACCACATGGCACACCCAGCGGTATGTTTGAGAATCTGGCTCAAGAATATATAGAGAAAAAGTGAGTGGGTTTATAGTATACCATGCTAGGTGGTGGTTAAAAGAAATATACATGTCATAAAACTGTACCACATGGCACACCCAGCGGTATGTTTGAGAATCTGGCTCAAGAATATATAGAGAAAAAGTGAGTGGGTTTATAGTATACCATGCTAGGTGGTGGTTAAAAGAAATATACATGTCATAAAACTGTACCACATGGCACACCCAGCGGTATGTTTGAGAATCTGGCTCAAGAATATATAGAGAAAAAGTGAGTGGGTTTATAGTATACCATGCTAGGTGGTGGTTAAAAGAAATATACATGTCATAAAACTGTACCACATGGCACACCCAGCGGTATGTTTGAGAATCTGGCTCAAGAATATATTGAGAAAAAGTGAGTGGGTTTATAGTATACCATGCTAGGTGGTAGTGGTTATGGGACTTAAATGGTGGGTAAATAGTTTTTATGGACGACTTAACGTATGGGTTGGGGACAGCATGGTCACATGGTAGAGCATTCAGCTACAAGCCTGAAGGTCTTGTGTTTGGCTCTTAGTGCTAACTGTAGGGTGTCACAGAGTCTACCCAGCTTTGATGGGTACCCGACTCTCGTTGGGAAAGAAAAGATGGCTACTCATAGTGATGACCACACCACCCCTTTATATGCTGAGGTTAAGAAACATAAACTCTACTGTAAGTGCCCTATGGATCTTTAGCAACTGTATCTGCCCAATGGATCTTTAGGTCTAAATGGATAGTTGTACTTATCCTGTTAGGCCAAACATAGAAGGTTGCTATTCCTGGCTGATGTCAATTCTTTTGACTTCAATGAAGATATAGGGGAAATGTGTGTGAGACCATGGGACTTGTATGGAAGGTCAAGGTTTTATGGTTGACCTTACAGATGGTTGATTAATATTGGGGGGAAAAATGATTGGTTTTATAATACTGGATATAAATTGATGATGGTACTGGTTATGAGACTTGGTATGATTATAGTGTGGCTTTACTGATAGGTAATATTTTGAGAACACGTAAGTTGGGTTATGGTATTTTGCTAAACCGAAAAGTCTTGAGTTCGAACCCTCGGGCAGATGAGGCTCGTTATCTGGGGACATCCCTTCTTCTATGAGAGACAACACCAAAAATCAAATAAATTGTATAGTATTTGTGTGAAGGTGAAGGGTGGTTATGAAACTTATAGTGTGATTGAGTGTTTAGTACTGGCTTGTGGGTATAATAGGACATATATGGAATGTATAAGAAATAAGGTGGATTTCTGCCAGCTCATCAATGGAGAAAAAGTATGTAGGTTGATCTTTTGTAATATTACAAAAAAATTCTTGCTGCATATGTTCTGTATGTAGATAGTATGGGTTGATTATTAGTTAATTATCAGTGGAGATTAGGCTTATACTAATTCCACAATAACACGAGGTAATAACATTTTACACTGTAGGCCTATTGTCGTTGGCATTGTTTTTTAATAGAACTTCTATATGTACTATACTCAATTTGCTTGCTTTTTTTTTATTTGGGAAATTCAGTTTTTTTTTCTTTTTAGAAAAAATGTTGTTTTGTGTTCTCTTGAGTTGCATGATTTAAACTGGAAATGTTAGAAAAAAAGAAACTGATAATTTTTCTTCTCTTATTTTCCAGTTTGCCCAGTGTAATTGTACAAAATCATCATGACTACTGCAAGCCTGAGCCAGCGAGTCCACCTGCGGAGGATAATGATCAGGACTTGGATCAGCACAAGTAAGGGCAGAGTTTTAATTAATTTAAAGGACAAACTATTGTTTGGGATTTGTGTCATAAACACAATAATATTGACAGTGCTGGTTAAGGTTTTCGGAAGAAATAAAAATCTGGGTTCTTGGTAGGACAACACCATTGAGGTTGACTATCTGCTGTATGTAACTTTCATTAGGTGAAGAATAGAAGGCAGAGTGAAGGATATTTGACCTACTGTAGAATTTTTACAGTTCATCATTATTAACAATTAGAAATAAAAAAGATTTTTTTTGCACAGCAGAAAAAAAACCACATTTCTGTACCCTCTTGACCCTTAGGTCTTGACCCTTAAAATTCCTGTTCCCCTTGTGGTAAATGTTCACACCACAAATTCTAAGAATATAAAAAAGCATCTTTTTATTATTTTAATGGACATTAATATACAAGTTCATTGCCAATACTTTTACTTAGTATGCCGTGTGGACTTAGTTAACATGCTGATTAAGTTTTCAATACTCTTCCTTCTTTGTAAATTGCAAATAACAGAAAATAAAAATTTCTTGTTTTTTGGAGCTTAGTATAAGGGAAATAGTATTCACGACATCCTTTATTAATATCTTATTTTTATTTACTGTCTGGGTAAGGTGTCTAGATATATCAGTTGGCTGGGGACATTTTTAAACCTGAACCAAAAATGCAGTATCAGGTTCAAAGGGTTAGCTTTTAGCAAGTTTGTTGGTTCCTATAATATATTGAAACTTATTTTATTTCAACGGCACATTACCTAATTTACTATAATTATTTACCTAGTTAATCAATATTAGAAATTTAAAAACTGGCATACAAATGTTTATAATAACAAGATTTTGATGACAGTTATAAAAAAAATAAGCTTTCTTTAACTATTTTAAATATTTTTTTATAAACAACATACACCTTACAGTTTACAAATTTAAGTGACTCAAAAAAGTTATATAACAAATCTTTTAAATAATATATTTAAAAAAAAAGGAAATATAATTACTTGTAGGGGGGAACATTAATTTTAACCAAAGTATTTACTAAATTTTTTAAAGACCTTTTAGCATGTCCACTAATGTCAGGTTTAAGATTTCAATTATGACAACGATAAAAGTGAGAATAATTCTTTCCTTTTACAGGCTTGTGATAGTGGAACCTACTTTTGAAGAAATCACACGTACTGGTGTGGTTAACGAGGCCAAGCTCGTTAACCTAATGCCTTGTCCGATCAGGATCCCACAGGTGGACGATGAGAGCAACGTCTGCGTCAACAGTGAGAGCATACATCTAACAAATCTAGAGCTGATGAAAGCCACCAGCTTGGGAAAGAAGAAGCAGCCCAGCAAACCTGAGAAAGAGAAACGCACAAGCCAGGCAGGTGAGGAGAAGCAGACGCAGCCGGAAAGAAAGCAGAGAGCTGGGGTAAAGAGGAAACTTTCCAGCCCAGAGAAGGGTAACTCCACACACGAGGATAAACCCGCTAGCTCGGAAGCGAAGAAACTTAAAAGTACAGACAAAAAGAAGCCCAGTAGTGAGCCCAGCTCAGGAAAGAAACAAACTTCCAGCGATAAAAAGCAAAACGCCTCTGATGACAAAAAATCCAAAGCCGATGAAGATAACAAAGAAATAGCCGCAGATAGTAAAAGTTCTGATACCACAGAGCATCAGAAGGAAGCAGGCGCAGATAACCAAACACCACCCAGTGCAGAAAGCTCTAAACCCAAATCAACCATCACTTTATTTGACCTGTTTTCACTGACTGACAACCAAATGGAAACCCAGAAGAAGACCAAAGCAGCAGACGTGTTAAAAAACACAAACACCTACAACGTTAAATTTAAAAGTAACGACAGCTCGAAACCTAAAAGCCCTGTCAAAATCCTACCTAAAATTACAGACAGTATTCAACCCCCCAGCGCAGATAAAAAGTCTAAAACTCCAGACAGTAGTAAATCTCCCAAAGCAGATAAAGCCCAGTCTAAAGTACCGGGTGCTAAACAGCCATCTACTGCTGAAGTTGACAAATCTACAAGCCAAGATCCCCCAAGCAGTGAACTGCGTGCTGCATCAGCCTTCACGTTAAACAAATTAGTCGCTATGATCGGGAAAAAACGACCAAACTACAACAGCAACCTCATCAATGCTGAAAAGATTGTGCACCCACCTCGAACAAATATTACAACAGGTAACGTTAACTCAAAACCGTTAAACACGGTTAATGGGCTACCTGTTGTAACATTAAACGATTTATTTGAAATGTTTGGGAACAAAAACAGCCCAAGCAAAGGCAAAACAGCTGGTAATAAAGCGCAGCCGGGGTCAACAACGGCTGCTGATCCAAGGCCAATCATCACATTAAACGATTTGTTTGAAGTGTTCGGGACTAAGAAAAAACCAAACGCAGGCCAAACAAAGTCCACAGCTTCTGTAGCGCAATCAGCAACATCTGCTAAGGGTACTCACAGTAAACAAGTTGTCACGTCAAGTAAGCAGCCTACAGCATTGACTGTTGCTCTATCTTCCAATCAAGATATCCCTACACCAAGTAAGCAGCCAACAAAGTCTACAGTTGCCCCATCCACCAATCAAGATATCCCTACATCAAGTAAGCAGCCAACAAAGTCTACTGTTGCTCCATCCACCAATCCTGATATTCCTACACCAAATAAGCAGGCTCCTGCCTTGACTGTTGCCAAAAAAGATGTTACAATACCTCACAAGCAGGCTTCAGGGTCAACAAAACAAGATACTCCTACATCGAGTAAGCCGGGCCCAGCATTGACTGTTACCTTAACTGACCAAAAACTTGTTGCCATATCTAACCAACCGGCCTCAGCATTGACTGTTATTGCATCTAATCAAGATGTTACAACACCTAACAAGCCGGCTCCAGCATTAACTAGTGTAACATCAGCCAACACAGATGATACAAAGCCTATCATCATATCCTCAACATCAGGTGCCGACACAACAGCGAACAAAACTGTGCTGAACCCCAGCAAGCAATATTCCCTCCTGGCTGAGAAACTTCAACCCAGTAAAGCTGCGGCTGAGCCGTTCAGTCAGTTGTTGAGAGCAGCAGCCTTCAACACACCAGGCAACAGTAAACCTGCATCTTCAACACCACCTGCCACATCATCTGTGGAACAACCCTCAACATCAGCCAATCATACACTTGACGACGAAAACATGTTTTCCGATGCATCTGACAATGATGAAAAACCTGACACATTTGAAGAACCTGACACATTCGAAGAACCTGACACATTGGAAGAACCTGAAACAGTTGAAGAACCTGACACAGTCAATCATGGACCTATTAAACTATCAGCAGTGAATGTTAACGATGCCAGCACTGACGTCAAAAAATTCATACAAACTTTAACATCCTCAAACGACCCGTACACCAGGAGACCAATCAGCACGGTGATTGTGGTCCCGATCAATAAAAACTTTGGCGGGGCAGGCGCCGCCAATTTAAGAAAAGCACAGAATCACGCCGCCCCGCAGAATCCACCCGCGCCCAACAGAGGCAACAAAGGCCCTGGCACCTCTGACGTGTTTGCCGCTCTCAGTCAAGAACTGGATCCGGACGCGGAGGGGGGTTTGAACATGGAGATGGATGCAAGTACCTGCATGTTCACATTCCTGGCCAAGAAGTTCTACACCTTCTCGCAGCCCACCCAGAAGTGGATGGAGGATGAGTGCTTGAAGTTGTACGTGGAAGCCAAGAGGAGGGACACGTTTATCATGGCGAAGAACCAGCTGCTTCAGGCCAACCAGCCGATTGCACCGGCTACTAACCCTGGTTTGCGAAAGTGACAATTTTGTATTTATGTAAATCTGTATGCTGACTCCGGCATAGAAATTAGAACTGTTGTATTGTTTATGTTGCCTTGTACATAATATGTTTTTGAAGTAAAACATGATTTAAAATGATGTTACTAGAAGTAATATGGTAGTTCTTCAATTCTTTTAAGCGATTAAGAAGTACATAGTTTCTTCTTTAGGTGTGACCTTTAACAAAAATATACCTGTTTTCTTTTTTTTTTATTAACTTAGTGTTATTATCTAGTATACCACTCACCATTAAATATAAGGCTGTTTCTTTATTTACTTGAACTAGCTCCGAGGGTAGGACATTCATCAGTTGACCTAGATCTGAGGATAGGGAATTCCTTGATTGACCTAGATCAAGGGTAGGGCATTCCTTAGTTCAACTTGAACTAGATCAGAGAATTAAGACTTCTTTTACATTTTGACCTAGACCAGAGGGTAGGGCATTCCTTAGTTCAACTTGAACTAGATCAGAGAATTAAGACTTCTTTTACATTTTGACCTAGATCAGAGGGTAGGGCATTCCTTATTCCACCTTGACTACGCTCTAAAGAATATTATTTCACCTTGACTTGGCTCCGAGGGTAGTGTCTGAGGCGGCTGAGATAAAAAAAAAAACAACTGGTGTCCTCTACCCTACCAACATTGGTATCTGGAAAACGTATAATGCGCTTTTGGTTTTTTTTTTGCCTAGAAACATCTGTAAAATGTTAAGTTGTGCGTTTGTCTTTGTCTCTCACTTTTTTTTACTTTGGTACAACATACGGCAGCTTCTATACGACAAACCTACTCCGTCAACTAGTAAAAATAATAGTTTAATTATATAAGTGTCAGCCTACAGCCGGGGGATTGTTATATATATATATATATATATATTGGGAGGGGGGGGGGTCAACTCTATGCCCATCCGCCTTTACATTTCCTAACATGAGTTATGTACCCATCGGGGCTGGGTGGACTCAGGGACGGTCTACTGACTTGAACCCGGATTCGAACTCGAGACTTACGGGTTAGTAGTTTAGCTCTCTACAGCTAGACCACTCCGTCCCTTGGGAAAGTAAAAGCAATTGGACACATTTCTGACCACACTATCCAATCGTATGCCAAGTTAACTTAAACAGGTGAACTCTACTTCGTCTGCCGCATGGACCGCACGGTTCGCAAGGGTAAAACCTTACAAACTAAAACGACCCAATCTATAAAGATCAATGCGTCTAAATAAGATTTTTTTATTGTGTAGAAAATTCCATTAACTAGCCCACCGTCTAATCCGTTGTTTACGTACATATTCGACAACAGATGCACGGTGACAGGCAAGTCGATGTTGATTACAAGGCTGAATACACACCACTTAACGAAGCAGAAAGGTGGTATCGAATGATGAATACGACATCCGAGTTAGCCGTTCAAAATTGTCTCTGGTCTACCATCCGCACAAGGGGTTAAATTGGGGTATCTGTATCTGAGTGGTTGTGTAGATAAAATAGTGATCTTTCAGACTTTTCTTCAGGGGGGGGGGGCATTGGTAAAAAATATATAAGCAATATTTTTTTCTCTTTCGTTGTTGAAGTGGTTGGGGGTGGGGCATTAGACTCTATGCCCCCTCCTTTTCCCCGAAGAAATGCATGAAAGAAGCACTTTCCCGGAATAAATATAGGAAGAAATGCATACTTTAACCATCCATCGCCCCCTCCCGCCCCGGACATTTTATAACCTCCCATCCGCACCCCACCCGGCCACAACCGTCTGAAATAAAAACCCTTTAAAAAAAAGGCGAATTTAATGTTTTAATTTGTGTTAGAAGGTGATGCTTTTAGATGATATACATTGGACGAGGTCGGCGCACATTTTTTTTCAGTAAATTAAGTTTAAAATATATTTTTCAATATTGTAGACATACACTAATGCAACGTTTTTTTAAAAATTAATTTACTTAGTTTTCATCTACTTCACTTTGTGGCTTGGCCAAGAATTAGTCATTTCTCTTTTCGCATTTATTCGTTTCAATATATTATATACAGCCACTTTGCATATATATATATATATATATATATATATAGATATATATATATATATATATATATATATATATATATATATATATATATATATATATATAAAGCGACACAAACAAGCTGTAGCTGAATTGTAGGCAACTTTCAGTATGAGGGCCCATGAGGATGGGGTGGTTCTAACCCTACCCAACACTCCCTGCATACGCCAATATGTAAATTGTATTAAAAGTAATATTTATGTTAGCAATTTCAAACAAAATTGAATAATTTAATATATCTGGCAACTAGTAAAAATAAAATACGTTTAGTCAATAACATCTATTACCGTTGTCTATATTCACTGGGCTCATACAACATTCCATTATTTTTATTTTTATAGCAAGCTATTTATCAAATAAGGACATTATTGTAGAAAATCAAGAAAGAAAAAAGTCACGATCTATCTACTAATTTTTTTCCCTCATAAATCTCTATTTACCGACTTCCAACTTGAGAAGAGTGGGTAGATCAAAATAAACATGGAAAAGATCAGTCATCAGTGAAGCTGGTAGAAGCCGTAATGTCTTGGACCCAGCTTAAAAGAATCTTCCAGAACCGAGTACGCTGGAGAGGTGTGGTTGCGTCCATGTGCTACACGAGGGGTCTAAAGAAATAATGATGAGGATGATTAGCACGACTTCATACATCAACCGTTCTAATTCACCGAACCACATTCACAGCCAGTCGTTTACCGGTAACGTTTTTTTTACATTCACTGATAAACAGATTATACTTCAACACCCAAGAGGTTGTTGATTGCAAATTATCTGAAAGATAACAAACAATTTTTTGGGACCCCTTGCCTTTACAATTTTCATCTGGTGTTGTGTAATGTCCGTCTTTTATTCTGAAAACCTTTTTCGTGTTTACATATTTACTTTTCATGATTCAAAAGTCTTAGTGGACGTGACACGATATGTAACAAGAACAGTGCATGCAATATATTATAGTAGCCCACGTATTAGGGTAGGCGTGTATGGTGCGCGTGTGTGTGTGTGTGGGTAATGCACTATATATATATATATATATATATATATATATATATATATATATATATATATATATATATATATATATATATATATATTAGGTGACTTTTCATTGTGCTTTAGGGTGCTTGCACAATTCATTCTCAGTAAATACAACTGATCAACTGTACGGTTCCAAGTTGTGATATTATTAAAAAATATTTACCTTAACACAAATACCTCACCAGTTCCTAATCCTATCAAAGTATCTCTAAATTTATGTATAAAGTTCAGCAACTTTATTAATAACTGTTTCGTTAAAAAATTGATCTACTTTATCTGTTAATGCTTTTTCCCCCGAAACTTTTACATGAAATATAAATCCTTGAAATTAAATCACTCTTAAACTTTCCATGTTTCATTCCCATAATACTATTAATCACCAGAACAAAACCTTTTACCTTCAAAAATACATTTATTTACAAATTCCTTTTTTCGTAAAAAAAAAGTTCTTTGTTTTTGCAATGCGACCTATATTTAAAAACAAATTGTTTTTTTTTAAATTTATCTCGAGACTTCCAAGTTTAATTAATGCAAAGTTTCATAAAGTTTATTTATGATTTCTCAAAGTATAAAATTTCCATGCTTTTTTTTTTTTTTCGAAATTTCCTTTACTTTCCGTCTCCTTTACATACAGGAACACATATACACCATAAACAAAATCGTTAAAATTTCAAATAACTCTCACACGTCTTTTATTTCTTGAAAATGAATATTCCAGATATGTTTTTTTTTAAGAAAACTGGAGTCAAATCTTATGAAATATTACAAGGTATCACTCTCTCGAGAAGAGCTCTTCACTGCTGGAGATAACTTGATATCGGTGAACAAACTGCTTGGTGTGATAGTCTACATAACATCCGCGTCTTACACTGCACAACTTAGATATGATAGATAAAATATCCAAAATGGATTTGGACTGTAATACAATGATATTTACAGAGATTTTAGTTATTTTAAATCAGTATAATGGTTTCTATTTAGTTGATTTTTATATAATTTGTATGTATGTATGTATGTATGTATGTATGTATGTATGTATGTATGTATGTATGTATGTATGTATGTATGTATGTGTGCATGTAAAATGTATGAACAATTAATGGCCAGTATAGATGTCCACAGGGCATAACGTTTTATGCTGTGGTTATTGAAATAGATAAACTCTACTTCATTTATTACATCTCTCTATGGTACGATCGGGAAAAGATTATGAAGAGGGATGTCTACATCCAAAACCTGTGAATTCATTTCAGGTTAATTTTCCGGAAGACATTGTAAAATGCTTCAAGCTAGCTATTTTTTTTTAAAATTATTCACTTAACAAATAATTTTTAAGCACAATTTTATAATTAACAGTTTGTAAAATACTGCGGGTTAGCGTAGGCTATATTTTTCTTTATCCTAGTCTATTTCTTCTAGTCTATCATTATTCTTGCTTATGATTCAAATAAATTAGCAATAGCAAAAGCAATATTTCTATTTTTTTTAGGTTTTAATAAAAGTATTCCTATTTATAAAAAAATAATTGTAAGCTAGCAAGCAAGAGAATGAAAAGTTGGTGACCTACTTACAAGCCTTTTTTGCATAGACACGAACCTAACAAGGATACTCGTCTTCTGAATTTCAAGGATTTGTTTCTTTTCACCAAATTACAGTTTTCGTTGTACAAGTCACGTGACCTATTTTTGTTTTTAATTTCACGAAAAAATGTATCAATGACACTTTCCTTGAATGAATGAGATAACCAACCGCAGAAGGTTGACTTCCTACACTGATATCAGTGATAACCACTTGACTAGCTAGGTGGTAAACTTAGTGATAAAAACTGTTAATCAGACGCCTTGTTGGCCCACATTTTTTATTATAATGCTGCTTTGTTTTTAATTACATATGGCCTCAATGAGTTTTTAAAATATCATTGAGCACTTACTTAAATTACTGTAAAATAATTGTTTGCTAGTAATATCAACAATTAATTATTAAAATTTGTTAGTATATGATCTGCGCTATGTCACGATAG